TGAATACGCAAGAAGTGAGTAAAATTTTTCTTCCCATGGTGTTGGTTTATGCCTATGTTTTGTTCTTTTTTCGTTTTCCTACAAGACCATCAAAATAGTACTAATATTGGTTCTTGGGTCTGGCAATTAAGGTAGGAGATACCATCTCTGATGGTGCTGTAGCACAACATGATGTGGTGAAGCCTGAAAAAAGTGAAGACACAGTTAAAGAGCGACCCTCAAAAAGGAATAGGAAGAAGGAAAAGGAGCCAGTTGAAAAGCCTTCCCTCAAGTCCCAAATTCGTAAAAGGCTGGAAGTTTTACCTTTCGCAACATCTATTATTGCTCTTTTCTTACTCATTTTGCTCGGTGCCTTTTATGTGGTAATTTGAACATGTCCTTCCTTACCCTTTATTTTGGGTGCTCTATCACTCTATTACTGACGTTGATGATTGCAATGCTGATTGAAGTTGGCCATTAAGTCTAAATTATGTCCAATTGTTCAATTATGTTGATGCATTTTTTTATGCCTTTATTCTATCTCAAGATTTTGGTAAAGATTGACAGAACTTGAAATGTAAATAACGAACTTCAAGTAAGGAAAGAAACAAAGAAAATAAGCTTAGAAAACAGCAGTAGCAAATTGGTTGTGACTGGGAGAGAGCAGGACTCCTGAATTTCTTGTGCTCTTCTGCTAGCTTATAAATTGATTTCATATTCATTGAGGAAATACATCGGTAACTGTAATGAAATCATTGGTTAAAACCATAGTGGTCACTCTTGTAGGACATTACACACACTACAAGTTTAAAAGCCAAATATTGTAGGGTCCAAACACACAACGTACTCTTGACACTTCTGCTGGTAAAAGCGGATTCAGTGGCAGATTTAATTACATTTAGAAAAGCACTGTAAATTAATAATGGATTGATTATCACAGTTGAATTGAAACAGATGCTTGATGGTTCAAATTTTTATGGCTTTACTTGCAAATATGTGTAAAGGAACAACTATATTAGTCTAAGCTTTCCCTCTTATGACACATAAAGGAGCAAAATTTATTTTTCACCTCTTCCACCCCTTGTTCTCCACTTCTCCTACAATATCTATTTGCTGACTTGGTTTGTTTACGGCTGTCATAGGTTCACTGCGTCTGGGCAGCAGCAGAGGCTTATTCAGCCCCTTCTATTGTTTTAACTTCTCATTCCCACGATGGTCTCCATGTTTTTGATGACTTTAGAGAAGCTTATGCATGGTTAAGCCACAACACTGAGGTTGATGATAAAGTAAGTTTTTGCTAATTCTTCTTTTATCTGCCTTTTCCTGACGTGCCTATGATTTGTTTCATGGTTATCCTTTTCCCCTCATCACAAATGTGAAGTGTATGAGCTCTCTGCTTTCTTTTGCTCCATTATTGCATCTTTTGGACTGTTGTTGCATCTTTCACACTTATTTTCTTAAACAATTAACATATTCCTACCTTGAATTGTTTAGTTTTCTCAAGATCATTAAATTTGTGGATAACTTATCATAGATAATAATCTTTTGTGGTGTTGTTGCTTTTTGTTCAAACTCATTTCCCAGGTTGCATCATGGTGGGACTATGGCTATCAAACCACTGCTATGGCTAATCGCACTGTTATTGTTGACAATAATACCTGGAACAATACCCATATTGCAACTGTTGGTACTGCCATGTCTTCTCCTGAAAAGCCCGCCTGGGAAATATTCAACTCCCTGGATGTAAAATATGTTCTTGTTGTCTTTGGAGGTTAGCTTGTACTAAATCAGTTGCTATCCCATGAATCAGATAAAACTATGATATTTCTTACTTTATGTTATCCAATAAATCAATTCTTGATATCCCTATGGATCAGATGACAGTAAATACTATGCTATTTATCATTCTTGAAATTGGCCATAGAAAAAATATATAGTTGTTCTGAATCATCTAAGTAAATGAAAAAATTTATTCCGATTTCTTTACTGTCTTTGCAGGTCTTGTTGGGTACCCAAGTGATGATATCAATAAGTTCTTGTGGATGGTTCGTATTGGAGGGGGTGTATTTCCTCATATTAAGGAACCGGATTATTTAGTAAGTGTTATTTTCTTTTGAAGGCACGATTGCATTTCCATAATTTCTTTCTTTTATGTTAACACACTAAAACTTGATGCTGTCTTGACTTGTTTGAGGATTAGTTCATAAAACAACGTTCTATAACTTCCAATTTATTTTTTCCTTTTTCTTTCTTTGAAAAGAGAGATGGTCAGTATCGGATTGATTCTCAAGCCACTCCAACAATGTTAAATAGTCTCATGTACAAACTCTCGTACTACAGGTTTGTAATTGTTTAGCATTGAATGGTTTGTTAAACGGGCAGTCTCTTTCATGGCTTTTATAGTTCTTATTCTTTTTTACACTGTTATAATTCTTATTCTCCTGTCCGTTTTGCTGTAGGTTTGTGGAGACAGATGGTAAAGGATATGATAGGGTGAGGCAGACAGAAATCGGAAAGAAATATTTTAAACTTTCGCATTTTGAAGAGGTAAATGATATAATCTTCCAAAGAGGAAAAAAACAACCTTTTATTTTCATAGAAAATTACTTTCCAATTTGATACAAGAAATCCTTTCCGGGGGTTATAAGATGGAGGAGCTGTGAACTCTATCGGAAGAGAAACTTGCGTGTTTTAGAATGTGGGATTCATGAGAAGATAGAAGAGGGAGGCAAACAAACCCAGTTGTTTCTTTCACTTGATGCCATTATTGGCTGCTTTTAACAAGCACTCTAATGCGTAGTTACACAGGAAAAATAAAAATACAACAATGCTTCTAGCTGGTTGAGATAGTGCAGCATTATGACTATGTAATCTCCTTTTTATTTTATTTTTTTAATTTAATTTATTATTATTATTATTATTATTTTAAATTTGAAGAAGAAACGGAGACGTTTCCTTGTTGTATGAATTAGTAAAAACAGGAGGGAAAATCCTCAACCCACCAAAGGAAGATTACATAAGACTCTTCCTATTGGAACCTAAAGAAGAAAGGGATTAATTCTAAAACAGGGGGATAGACTTGCACCAAGAGCTAAGTAACGAAAACTAAATCATAAAAAAAGTGGTTTTCCGTCTGCTCCATTTTAAGGATTCTCTGGTTTATTTCCAACCATTTGTCTGTTCTAATTAATCTTAGCTGCAAGATCTAATTGTATCAAATTTCGTGTATTTTTCCTTTGGGATATTGCTATTGTCTTAATGAGATATCTGGCAACGAGGAGTAACCTATTGAGTAGGTTTTAGTTTCAGTAACCAACTGTGCATATTTATAACTTTCTAGGCACAGTACTATCATGCAGTTTCTGATGTGATTCTTGATCATTTTAGGTATTCACCACTCACCATTGGATGGTACGAATCTACAAATTGAAACCTCCAAAGAACAGAATAAGGGGAAAGACTAAAAAGTCGAAGGGGGTATGTAACTGTCACATGCTGTCGACTTAGTTGAGCTGACGCCATTTTTTTCTACATTACTGCTGCCGTCCTTTAATTATTTCTATTTGTTGGTTACCAATTTTCAGAAATCAAGTTCAACTACCAGTTTGAAAAGAAAAGGCACTGAAAAGAGAAATCCGTGGCACTGAATGATCATCTGATGATGGGATAACTTTCAAAAAGCATGTAAGTTACACATGTATTTGACAACCTTGGCAGATACTTGTTGAGGCATAGTTCGATAATTTTCTTACGGATGGAGAAATTTTTGTAGTCTTATCATATATTTTCCCCTTTCCTATTTGCCAAGATTTAAGGGATCTAATTGAAGTATTGAAGGTGGATAGATACTTTTGCACATTTTTTGAGGTATTTACCTATCATTCTCCTCGTCGCTTGAATGCTAAAATGAGGGTGATGCTTCTATTGCTCACGAAGATCCATCTCCTTCCTAGATATGCCTAACCAGAGCAATTACTATGATTCATGGTTCTATCTTTCTATTAGGGTGAAAGGTTCCATTCTTTTTTCCCACTTCCCCGACTTGAATCTGTCAAATGAATACACAATTTGCAGCTACGAGTATGAAATATGTTCTATTTTATATTTTTGTAGTCGATTTATCAGGCTCATTGGAATAGCCGTTGGTTGGGCAGAAACTGATTGATGGAATGGGAACACTTGTTTCAATGGCTGCACATTATAAGGATTGGAAATGCTATTTTTTATTATTTTTTAAAGTTTTTCGAGTATAATACGTGGGAGTGGGGAATCAAACTCACGACCTCTTGGTTGGAGATATATGCCAATTACTACTGAGCTATGTTCACTTTTGATGAGGGGAAATATTTAACTGTGAATGATATGACAATTTTTAGTAAGTTATTACAATTCTATATGTCTCGTCCATGGTTGAAGTTTTTTGGCCTCAAACCAGAAGCCTATAAGCCTCTACTCACCCCAACGAAACTAGCCTATAAGCCTATAAGCCGAACACGGGGGAAAGATCATTTATTTTTTTCTTTAAGCTATTAGTTTAAACTTTTGATAACTTGATACAGCACAATTACTTAACTCTTCTCAGATCTTACTGAAATTTTCTTGCTGTTTCAATTGAACTTTTGATGTCATGTTCGTTTATAGACCTAAATTATAGTTTTGTTAGGAGAATACAAAATTCATTAATTTTTTCAAGCTTCAGCAACAAAAAACTTAGGTAAATCTAGATATGTTAGTTCTAAGATGGAAGATGATGTTAAGATTGACTGGAATCGATTATGAGTGTCTTAGTAAATTAATCGAGATTTTCTTATACCGAGAAATTTGAAGTAAAAAATGTTTTCTTTCTTTTACAAGGAAAATGTTAAGATACTATTACCTAACAGGTTAGGGAAAACAATTACATAATTTTGTCTAATAAATTGGTAATACAAATTAATACAGATAAATATCGAGACACATCTGCAATATTTATTTGTCAAAAAAAGAAAAATTGAACATGGGTTAATTGTGTCGTGTAAAAAATACTCTAGATATCATTGAGAGGTTATATCATTCTTTCCCCCTTGAAAAAGAGTGGAGAGAAATTCACTGAAGATTTAAGTAACAAAATATTTGGATTTTTTTGCTCAAATGATCCAAAAACCAAGATGATGAGCGAGATGGACAACGGAAAAAAAGGGATTGAAAAAGCTTTTTTTATTTTTTTATTTTTTTAATTTTGACTGCAGGGATTAAAAAAAAAAACTTAATCCACGTGTTTTTACATGCTAGAAGTAGAAATGTATATTCACAGGATTTTTTTTTGGAATCTGGTTAATTTTAATTGGGCATTTGGTTTTTGCATCATTTAAGCAGAAAGCCTAAAATATTTGATATAGACAGATAAAAATTGAACGTAACATATATTTGATGATAATATAAGTATATTTAGCAATTAAGACATATTACTTCTTTAGAAATTGGAAGTTCTTTATCGTAGGTAGATTTTTGCTTCGTAATTAACACAAATTTCAAATTGAAACTGGAGCCGGCTCAAAAATGCAAGCAAAACCCAAGCTGCGGCAAGCCATAGACTTGCTCTGCTCTCGGGGCAGCGCTTCCTCTGAGGCATACACCCACTTGATCCTCGAATGCGTGCGTACCAATGAAGTCGACCAAGCCAAGAGACTGCAATCTCACATGGAACACCACCTTTTCCAACCCCCTGATCCTTTTCTCCAGAATCAGCTACTTCATTTGTATGCTAAATTTGGGAAAGTTCGAGATGCCCAAAACCTGTTTGATAAAATGCTCGAGAGGGATGTTTTCTCCTGGAATGCGCTGCTCTCTGCGTATGCTAAATCGGGGTCTATCCAGAATTTGCAGGCGACATTTGATCGAATGCCTTTCCGGGATTCGGTTTCATACAATACGACGATTGCTGGGTTTGCTGGAAATGGTTGTCCAAAAGAGTCGCTCGAGCTTTTTAGGAGAATGCAGAGTGAAGGTTTTGTGCCTACGGAGTATACGAATGTGAGTGCATTGAATGCGGCTGCGCAGTTGTTGGATTTGAGGCGTGGGAAAGAAATTCATGGGAGTGTTATTGTGCATAAATTTTTAGGGAATACGTTCATCTGGAATGCTTTAACAGACATGTATGCTAAATGTGGTGAGATTGAACAGGCAAGGTGGCTGTTTGATCATCTTGCTAACAAGAATTTGATTTCTTGGAACTTGATGATATCTGGGTATGTGAAGAATGGACAGCCTGAGAAGTGCATTGGCCTGTTACATGAAATGCAGATGTCTGGTCACATGCCTGATCAAGTTACGATGTCAACTATAATTGCAGCTTACTGTCAATGTCGATGTGTAGATGAAGCAAGAAAGGTGTTTAGTGAATTTAAGGAGAAGGATATTGTTTGCTGGACAGCCATGTTGGTGGGTTATGCAAAGAATGGTAGAGAAGAGGATGCACTGTTGTTGTTTAATGAAATGCTGTTAGAACATGTTAAACCTGACAGCTACACTTTATCAAGTGTTGTCAGTTCATGTGCCAAATTAGCATCTCTGTATCATGGTCAGGCAGTCCATGGGAAATCAATTCTTGCTGGGCTTGATAATAATTTGCTTGTTTCTAGTGCACTAATTGATATGTATTCTAAATGTGGTTTCGTAGACAATGCAAGGTCAGTTTTCAACATGATGCCGACTAGGAATGTGATTTCATGGAATGCTATGATTGTTGGTTATGCTCAAAATGGACATGATAAGGATGCCCTTGCATTCTTTGAAAATATGTTGCAACAGAAATTTAAACCGGATAATGTAACATTTATAGGTGTTTTATCTGCTTGTCTCCATTCTAATTGGATTGAGAAAGGGCAGGGGTATTTTGATTCCATAAGCAATCAACATGGACTGATACCTACTGTGGATCATTATGCGTGTATGGTCAATCTCCTAGGACGTTTGGGCCGCATTGATCAAGCAGTTGATCTAATAAAAAGTATGCCCCATGAACCAGATTGCCTGATCTGGTCCACACTTCTATCAGTTAGTGCAGTGAAGGGTGATATTGCAAATGCAGAAATGGCAGCTAGGTATCTCTTTGAATTGGATCCTCTGAATGCTGTACCTTATGTTATGCTCTCAAATATGTATGCCTGTATGGGTAGATGGAAGGATGTAGCATCAGTTAGGACTCTCATGAAGAGCAAGAATGTCAAAAAATTTGCTGGGTACAGTTGGATTGAGATTGATAATCAGGTGCACAAATTTACATCTGAGGACCGGACTCATCCAGAAACAGAGAAAATATATGAAGAATTGAACATGTTGATTAGGAAATTTCAAGAAGATGGATTTACCCCTAATACAAATCTAGTTTTGCATGATGTCGGGGAGGACGAAAAGTTCAAATCTATATGTTTCCACAGTGAGAAACTTGCACTTGCTTTTGGTCTGGTAAAGAAACCTAATGGAGTTACTCCAATTAGGATTATAAAAAATATTCGCATTTGTAGTGACTGCCATGAATTTATGAAGTTTGCTTCTAGGATTATTAGAAGGCAAATAATCTTGAGAGATTCAAATAGATTTCATCATTTTGCAACTGGGAAATGCTCCTGTAAGGACAACTGGTAACGGATATGCTGGTGTAGATTGGGGGAAGCCACTGAGTTTCAAGGTGAGAAAATGGTGATGCGAGGATACAGAGATCAAAACAAGGAAGAGTAGAAGGTTCAAGGAAAGGCTTCAGGTCCTGAATTTTTCAAAATGCGAAAGCTTAATGACATTTAACTTTCAAAAGTTAGTCGAAATTCTAAAATAGGAAAGAGATTCACACCTTATTAGAGCATGTCATATTACAACATTGAACCGATGGAAGTTTCCTTGTACACATCCTCCGAACTCAGTCTTTTGTGAGACAGAGTCAGTTTTGTGCACTGAGGAACATCAATCTACAACTCACCAACTCCAAGGTTAGTAGTGTAGGAAAATCTCTCATTTGTTATGTATCAGAAGCACACACATCTTTCTTCCACTTTAAATTTCATAGTTATAAGTCAGTCATTCTGATGTTCACCATAAATCAGTTGAAGGATTGGTTAATTCTACACAGGCTTGTGAGACCTCGTAACACTCAAATGTCATTATGTAATTGACAAGTGAAGAGAAACAGAAGACAAGGTGAACCGACACTCTGCCAGGAAAAAAGCATAGAATCCAAGAGGATGTTACAATTAATGAAGGGGACATCATGTCCAAAGAAACGGCTGCAATGATAGCCCTTAGTTCAAGGATGCATAGTAATGACTCGTGGTAGAATAAACAGCGAGAATTCTCTAGTTTTCCAGTGAGAACGAAACAATACAATGTTTAAAGTGGCCTATTTACTTCTCCTGAAATTCCCTTTTACTGGCAGAAAATTTGCTCGCGTAGCTTCTTTCTTTAACATTGATTGATAACTTGTCGATATCTCGACGTTCATGCATGCTTCCTTAGACAGATACTGAATGGTGCCCAAATTTCCATGTAGTACAGGTTCTTCCATAGCCATTAAATGGGCCATTCTTATCTTTCATCTGCTTGCTCACTTGTCTCAGAGTAGGAAAAGGTTGGATTCTGATAATTTGTACTGCAATCAGAAAGAGTTCCATGGTTTGGTGGTAATTATCTTCGTACTTTGTGCTGCAGAACCACGTGCTGGAAACTTGGCTGCTAATTGGCTGCAATCAGAAAGCTCTACTGGAACAATATGGTAAGCATTTTTGCTCATTTAAAGTTAGTTTTGCATAGAGACAGACATGTTGCCTTAGACAAGACACCAGTCAGTCTTCTCTGCTTGACCCTCTTTTTTTGCTTGTTTTTACTCTGTTTATTCAATGTGTATTGGATTTTATGTGTAAACACTAATCAATTTGGAGAAGCA